GGGTTGCGATGCCCTAAACCCTAAACCCTAGGGTGTGTACTGGTATGTTTTCAAGGCAGGGTTTGTTTTGGCGCCGCACCCGTGTGTGGCGGGCGATTGGGTTGCGCAGCGCCAAGTTCGTGCGGAAAGGCGCGCATCAGGGCATGGTCGTTTCTGCATTCGCTTGCCAGCAGGCGGCACTTGCCCCCCCTCCCCGCCTGTTGGCTTATTACTGCGTGTTGCGGGCTTTCGCATTGTAATCCAGTTCAATGTTTGATCCACCGCCGCTGGTCAGTGTCTAAGGAATGCCACAGTGCCACCCCGACAGCGCGTGTCCTGTATGCTGCGTCAGCACCTGTGTTTGGCAGAGCCTTGCTTTGCCAAACTCCAGACCGACAAAGCCCTGTTCCAATGCAAGGCGACCCTGCAACAGCCCATGCGCAAAGCTGGCCGCGTCGCCCTGCAAGTTTTTAGTGCAGTTGACACGCACGCCGATATTTGTGTTACAACAGCAGCAGCCGTGCGGCGCTTGAGAAGGCAGGCCGCCCTCGAGCTTGCCTCGGCGCACGCCCAGGCGCAAGCAGACATCGAGCTGTCAAGAACTCCGGCGCTGCAAGGCCCAACGCTCAGTTTGTGACCACAGCACATGGTGCCTCAACTGCATGGCTTGTCATGGAAGCGCGCCCCCAACTCTAGAGCGTCGAACCAGGCGAGGCCGCCCCAATTGCGGCGCAGCGGGTGCGTGGTCCGTCGCAATTCAGTGAGTTTCCGGGCGCCGGGCTGGCGCAGTCCTGCAAGTCGGTCAAAACGCGGGGCGGCCGTCGTCGACTGCATTGTGGCACAAGGGAAGGGCTTCGGCCGGTCAAACGACGGGCGGCGTTGGTCAAAGCTGCAGCGGCCCGCTGCTTTTCGGCGCCCGCCGACGCAAAGGGATGCACCAGCAAAGTCTTCTTCGATCCATGGCCATATGGAATGCGGTGACCCTGGATGGGTGAGCGCAGGAAAAAGGGCACAACAACAGCAAAGGTACAAAATTACGGGCGGCCGACCAGCAACGCCAAATTCGAGGCGCCTGCCGCCAACGCCCAGCGCGTGTCGCGGGCCGGCCCCAGGCATCGGCCTCAAGCCCCCTGCGACGCGGCCGCCACCGCCCGCGGCAGCGCCTCTAACGCCCCCGACGGTGCAGGCACCGCGGCCGCCGCAGCCACGCCGTCGGCGGCGCCCGCCGCCTCGCTGTCGGGGGCGAGCGCGGCGGCGATGCGGCCGTTGGCGACAGGGATGATCGCGGCGTCTGGTGCGGCCGCCTGGACGCAGGCTATGTGCTCCGCGTTGCTGGGGGCGCCCGGCGCCGCCTCGGGCACGGCGCCCCAGCTGTCCTGCGCCGACACAAGCCCGCGGTACGCCTGCGGGGAGATGGCGGCGGCGGGCCGGGTTGAGTTGGTTTTGGGGTCGAGTGCCGGCGTGTGTGTGTGTGTGTGTGTGTGTGTGTGTGTGTGTGTGTGCTTTTGCGCGCATGCTGGTGAGGACAGGGGCAGTGTTCAAAAGGCCGTTGGGCGGTGCTGTTGACGGTCAGTTTCATTTTCCCGTGACGTAAGGGCTTGATTGTATATGAGGTTTACAAGGCTGCAGTGGTAGCTAAGGATGGTGATGTTGTTGTGTTTGACGGTCTGTTTCATTTTGTTGGCGAAGGCATGGCCTCCTCGGGGTGCCTCAACGGCAGGGATGGGTGCTGTGCACCCCCTCAGCTGCCTTCAACACACACACACTCGCACCCGCCACCACCAGCACCACGAAGAATCACGAGCCTCACACAAACACACACACGCACGCACACACACACACACACACACACACACACACACACACACACACACACACACACACACACATGCACCTACAATCATACCCCCCCCACACACACATACACTAGTCCCATCGCCCTCCTCCCCCGCACAACCACACCGTGATCATTCCCCAACCGACCCCCGCGCGCCTGTACCCTGAACCCTAAACCCTAAACCCACCTTTATGAAAGCCACGTAAGCAGCCACCTTCCGCCTGAATCCGTCCTTGAGGCTGGGGTCAGCCAGCACGTCGGCATCGCACGACAGCACCAGCGCCGGCACGCCCCTCAGAGCGGTGTGCATCTCCTGCGTCGCCTGCCGCGAAAACAGTTGTGGGCGCAGCGCGGCGCCGCGCGCGTGAAAACTCGTCAGCGGTCGGAGTCGCTAGACTCCGTCGGCCTCGCGGGGAGCTGAGGTTTGCTCGCCGGCCGGAAATCAGCCGCGCCAGCGGCGGCAAGCCGACCCTCCCGCCTTGCCAACGTAAAGCAGTGGTGCCCAGAAGAAGCAAGAGCGCTCCTGCGTGCATTCAGAAAATGACGCAAGCCCAGAGGCCGCGCCGCCCCACACCTTCTCCTGGGTCAAGAAATAGAGTTCGTCGCGAATTTCCCGCGGAACCTCCAGCCCGGCTTGCCGCAGCCACTCCTCCTCGCCGCCGCCGAGGCCGCCGCCGGACCCCAGGCCGAGGCCGCCGCCGCTGAGGCCGGCGCCGGGGCCGCCGCCGCCGTCGGGCGCCAGCAGGCCCGACGGGCGCCGCAGCCAGGGGCCGCGCTGGCTTAGCTGCGCCACCTGTTCGGGTCCAATATGAAATGTGTGAAAAGACGGCGTTTGGGACACGGCGAGGGGGCAGGGGTTGGGGCTGTGCATACCATAGCAGGGGCGCGAGGAGGGGGGTCTGCAGGTTGGCGCCCGGGCCGAACCCTAAGACTGGACCGCACTAAAATAGCAAGCAATTATCCCCAACCAAGTGGCGCCCTCGCCCCTGCGGCTCGCCTGACTGCACCCTCCCCCAAGCCGGCGCCACGCCGCAC